TAGGGTGCAGGGGTTTAGGGTGTAGGGGTTTAGGGTGTAGGGGTTTAGGGGTTAGGGGTTTAGGGTGTAGGGGTTTAGGGTTTAGGGTTTAGGGTCAACAAGGATCAAAGAGGGATCAAAATGAAATCAAGTAGGGATTAAACAGAAGGCCCAAACTCCGAAAGGGTGAATTACAGTCTTTGCCGCTGTAAACAACGACAACCTTTTTGTCTCTCAGAAGGGGGCGTGTTTAAGATATATGATGAACCGGAATCGCCACAAGACGGGGCGTGTGGCAAATGAGGGGGCCTGTTTGAGATATATGCTGAACCGGAATCGCCAAAAGAGGGGGCGTGTTGAAGATATATGATGAAGCGGAATCGCCACATGAGGTGGTGTGTTTAAGATATAGGATGAACCGGAGTCGCCAAATGAGTGGCATGTTTAGGGTATATGATGAACCGGAATCGCCTCTATGACTCTATGGTTGACGTAAAAAGCTACTGCCGGTGCCATTGCGACCGCGAGCAGTCTGCCCTTGCACCGCGTTTTCCCGTTTGAGTTGTTTGATCCGTAGTGGTTTTTGTGTTGATCCGCAATTAAATTAGTAATCTTGAGTATACCCTCCGGCAGATTGGGTATTTTGATTGTTTTGATCCCAGCTTTGAGCTGTTTTTGATCTCAGACTGATCCCGTCTTCAAATTTTATTGATTCCTAAACCACTAAACCCGGAACCCTAAACCCTGAACCCTAGACCCTAAACCCTAAACCGTGCAGAACCAGGTTTCATTGATTACTGCCGTGGTGGTGCAGCTGACTTGCTCCGGTGCCGCGGGTCTGGCTATGGTGGCTACTTCGGCTCAAGGTAGGTCCCCGCAAAGCGGCAGTTAAACAGAGACTGCAAACAGAAGGAGTTGCGGATTCTGAAATCCTCATGGTACCCTTAAGCCCGCAAAAAACGCACAACTCAGACCTCTAAACCCTAAACCCCTAAAGCCCCTGAGCCCTAGAGCTAGAATATGGGGGAAACAGAAGCCGATGTTTATGCGGTCTGTTGGGCCCCCTAAAGGGCTTCCAAACTTCCTCGGACAGTCATCGCCGTAGTTCGGGAGGAACTGCAGAAATATGCATTACATTCATCTGTCGAACGGTGCTAGCACTACTTACGTCTGAACATCGGGAACAACCACTATATTTGCGGGCAGGCATGTGGATATGTATGCATAAGTGCATGCATGTACGTAGGTACTCCATCCATCCATCCATCCATCCATCCATGCATGCATGCATGGGTACATCCGTTCATGCATAAATCATAAATCCGTACAGCCATGCATACATCCATACATCCATGCGCCAATACACCTCAACATTCATCCGCACAACCATGCATGCATGGATGCAGGCATGCATGCATTCTCTCTCTCTCTCTATATACATATACACACATACGTATGTAAGACACCCACAGCCACGTACACGTTTGACTTGTGTGCACGCCTGGTTCTTGTCTGCATGCATATGATCCGAAATTTGGCCGGGCCTGAGGGGTGACTGAGGTTAAGGGCCGCAATGTCTACATCCCGCTCGTCCAGGTGACCCCAACGGTTTTAGCTCCGAAAAGTCTTAGAAAGTTCAGTGCTCAGGATTTCTAGCTTCAGGTTTTGGGGTTCAGGGTTCAGGGCCTCAGGTTCAGGCTTTTCGGGGGTTTTCCGGCTCGGCGATTCGAGAGGAGCCCCGAGCGTAAGACAGGGAAGTTTGTCCAAGCATGCTAAGCAGGCTGTCGGATCTGACAAGTGTTGCAACTCAGCAAAAACAGAGTAATGAACAGAGGGACCCTAATAATTACCTAGACTGCTTTAAGGGCTGCCTACTATGCTTATACCACCATGGAGCCCGAGACCCTACTCTAACTATTAAGGGGCCTAAACCCTAAAACCTTATAGTAGCCCTTGTAGAACCCTTTAAGGACCCCTTTTTTGAAGGGAGCCCAAAACCCTATTAAGGCTTCTACGTCATTACATCTGCAGTCCAAGAACCAGCTCCGGGAGTCTTTCCGGACCCCAAGAGCCTACGCCCCACAACTCCCAGGCCCTAAACCCAAAAACCTCCCTACCAAACCCCCGTAAGGTTTAGGGGTTGAGGGGTTTAGGGGTTTAGGAGTTTAGGGTTTAGGGCCTAAGTTTAGGGTTTAGGGGTTTAGGGTTTAGGGTTTAGGGTTTAGGAGTTTAGGGGTTTAGGGGTATAGGGTTTAGGGTGTAGGGGCTAGCAGCCCCAAGACGAAGAACGGGGGAGGCCATTGACATCCCTTTGCTCATGGCTGGGGATCTTTACTATATTTTGCCGACTTGCTAATCGAGGGATGGCACCGCTAGTGCATACATACTACTTTTATTTGTGTTATTAGTCAATTTCTTATTGTGTTGTGATCGCTACGACCATTCTTACTACGATTATTGTCATTAGGAGTCTTGTTACGATGAGTCTTACACTTCTTACTCTAGCTTCTGCTTGGAGAGGGTCTTTGAGGAGCCCTCGAACAGCTGACGGAAGCGAATCCCTAAGCCCTCGAACCGAACCCTGAAGCCTAGTATCTCGGGGGTGCGGGTTTAGGCTTTAGGGTGAACCCTCGACATCCTAAGCCCTAAACCCTAAACCTTAAACATTATATCCTAAACCCTAAACCCTAAAGGCCAATCCCTGACCTGGACATTGAACCCCGAAACCCCATACAGC